CTCATCCCCCGCACCCTCCCCCCACCGCGGGAGAGACAAAGCAACGGAGGAAGCCCCGACCATTCGACCTCCCCCGCTCCAGCTCCAGCTCCAAGATCAAGCTGAGAAAGCTAAAGTGCGGCGAAATCCAAAGAACGGCTTCATTCTCTGCCGCCTTCGGGTGCCGCCCGCTGGCCCCTTCTTCTTACGCAAGGGTCTTGCACCTCTTGTCTACTAAATTACAGCTCATCCCACAGACACATGCCTCGCAATGCCCCAAAGCCTCTATTACCACAACACGGACTGCGGATATACTCTCAGGGAAATGGCGGAGGTGGGGGGAGGGGAAATTGGGCAACGTTCCCTCGCTGAGAATCGGCCAACCACCAAGTAGTCCCCAAAAGCCTCCCTCAAAAGGAAAAACTGGTCTGACTCTCGCTTTCACGCGCCGTTCGACTATCTCCGCTCCTCACCGCGCGAGGCCGCCGTCCCTACGCCGCCGGGCTGCCTCAGCCGGTCGCAGCTAGACAGAGAACGAGCGCAGGCCCTTACCGCCCTCCCCCGCCTCCCCGCGCTCTCCTACCCCGCCGCGGTGCCGATTGGCTGCTCGAGCTTCGGCGGTGGCGCGAGAACTAAGCGATTGGCTCAAGGCCGCGTCAATCGAGGCGCCGGAGGAGGCGACGGCCCCACCTCCCGTCGGCGCCTCCCTTCAGGCTGTAAGGCCGCTAAGGGCCCAAGGAAAACCGGGCTTGAAAAAAGTCAACGCGGCCTTTAGGGAGGCCAATCCCCTGCCTAAATCCGTAATACCGAAGCCCCAATAACCCTAATTACCTAAAGGCCGTAAACAAGCGGGACGTAGGCAAGACGTCGAGGTTGGTGCAGCAGAGAAACAGAGGATAATGGCGTCCGCAGCGCTTTCGCCTGGAACGCCCTCCTCCTTTCTCGTTCGCGCACTCACTAGCTGGGGGAGGGGAAAAACCTCTCGCGAGAACTAAAGTCTGCCTCGTTCACGCGCACTGGGAGGGGGTGGGGAAGGGGCGTTTTCGGGACCTCAAGGAATCTTTTGGGTTTGGAGGAGGGGCGTGAGCGTGCGGCAAATCGGGCGGGAAGAGGAGAAACAGGATTAGGGCGCGCGGTGACCGTAGTTAGAGTGTCGCGGCCCGGCAACCGCTGTTGCGCGAGGGGAAGGCGGGACGCCCAGGTCTGTGCTAGGCCCTGACGAATGCTCTCGTTTCCACGGTCTACACTTGCGTCTCCCTTCCTCCCCGCAACTTCACTCCCGCCCGGGTTGCCCGGCTGCGGGGAGAGCCGCGGGTCGGTAAGTGCAGCCCTCTGGCCCGACCCACTCCTCGGAAACCCGCTGTTTGTAACGGGCCGCAGTGCCAGTCAGGCGTGGCCCGGGCTGGGGATCCTGCTGGCGGTTTGCGGCCGGTTGTCGGCTCCGGCGGGATCCCTGGCAGCGCGAGCGGGTTGTGGCTGTGAGCCTCGGAGTCTTAGGGAACTTGTCCCTACGGTTCCGATCTGAACCAGCACGCCCTGGAAAGTCCAGGAGAACAGGGCTCTCCATTATGATGAGACCTTTCATTATTTTCCTTTCTTTAGTCTTTTTGTTAGTGGGGCCTGTGATGCTAGTATTTTGTAGTGTCGCCGCATTTTATCTGAGATTTTTCTGGAAGTAATATTGCATTCATCCAAAATGAATGCAAATCAAAATACGTTTAGACATCCATGTTCTGTTAATTCAATTCTTTAAAGCGCCTACCGTGTGTCAGGATATTCAGCAGTGATCAGGACATCAAAAACCTCGCGCTTCAATAATGTTACCGTTCTAGCATGTTCAGTTTACATTACTTGCTTTTTGTTCAGTTACTTTTTAGGCCCCTGTGCCAAGCTTTGATGATTTCTTTTGTTGAGACACATCAGGTCACTGCGAATTGGTGACAAACCTGGGAAATCACCAGGCCTGATCGTATCCAATTTTCACATCCGACTCTTTAACCTTCCAGCCTTCATCCACAACACAAACTCACATTGAAGTTTAAAGATGCAGTAATTAACGTATAAAGCTAAATCCACCGTTAGCAGTATATGTATGTATATATGGACACATACATATACGTTTATAGTAATTATGAATTTGTGCTGATTTACAATATCGTAACTTGGTTTCCCTTTTGAATAATTCGCAAAATAGTTGTAATCCGGCTTCTTTTTTGAATGACTATGATTTCGTCTATCTCTTATCTTTTACTTGGAGTTTATAATGGTCCCTACCATGAAGAGTACTACAAGTCTTGTTGGGAGGTAAAACTTAACTCACGTTTTTGTTCTGTTACATAGTTCAGACTTTGATTAAGTTTTCAACCAAGAATTGATGAGTGTATGTACGTAGGGGCGGGGGATACTTGGATTATAGAGATTTAATCCGCCAGTCAGGATTTGGAACACTAATTGAATCTGTCATTTAAAACCTGGGACATTTCACTAACATTAATAGGAACATAAAGGGTACTCTACTAATCATACATTCTTTTAAGGTATTATTTCTGCTGTAGCCATCATTTTATGCCTTGGTAAATGGCAAAGTCAGTATCCCTATCTAGGAACTCCTTCCAATTTTACTGTCTTCCAGCTGGACCCTAACTGGTGCAAGCTCTTAACTTTTCTAGATGCCATTGTTAGATTTTTTTTTTTTTTCCTTTTTCCACTTGTTTTCTTCCTTATCTCTTGTAATTTGCTTTTTAGGTTTACTCTTTAAATAATAGGATAGTCTGTCTTTTCACTATCCTTTCATCCTCTTTTCAGCCAAACCACATTATACCTATGCTTATTCAAGGACTTGTCAACTTGATTGATACATTCAGTGATTCCTGTATTGTGTAATGAATTGTATGATCATTTCGTACTTCCAGTGAATTCAGAGCTAGTATTACTTAGCTGTGGGATTTATTTTAGATAAGTTAATATAATTGAGATTACCCACAATCAAGCTGGATGATTATTTAAAATATAGCTAACGTTTCCTGAATTTCCCCATCATGTGCTAAACCTTGTGCTTGTAGTTTAATGCTTATTGCAGTCTTGTGGGTAAATTGTTCTCTCTTTTTTTTTTATGGGTGAGGAAATTAAGAGAAGTTAAGGAACATGTCTGAGGTCACATTGCAGAGTTGAGATTCAAATTTTACATTAAGTTATGGAAGATCCACAAGGAGCCCCACTGATTACTTCTTTCTGATTTCAGTCATTAAATATAAAAATTTCCTCCTTAATTTTCTATCTTCAGAGTATCTTAAAGTCATCTCAAATGATTTAAAACACAAATTCTTTATTTTTTAGATGAAGATAGTGGAAACATGGAGTGCTTATGATTTAAATATTTGCGCTTTTAAGGTTCAGTTGGTTGAATGCCATATAGTGTCGAAAAGGATGGTACTTCCATCTCTTTTTCTGTTTTTGAAAAAATTGGAATATGTGAGGCTGACTGAAAATTAATTTATAAATCAAATATGCTTAAGTCTTAGTACTGAATGATAGAATTTTCTACTTTTCTGCTCAGTTCTGTAGTCAAAATCTAGCATGTAGATTATTGTGGTCACCTTAGTTTAGCATGCACAAAATGTCAATTGATTTGTTAAAAAACTTTTTCATAATTATAATATTTTGAGGATTAAGATTCATGTAGTTTTATAGCTGGCCTTTCCCTAGCAAAAAAATAAAAAAAATATATTTTCAGGACATAAATAGTTCTTAAAAATAACTTTTTAAAGACTATAACCTTCCATGTCATGGAGCCAGTCTGATGTTAAACATTTAGATTTTTTCTGTTTTTTTTTCCACACTGTAAAAATACAGTGATAAACTCTGACACATAAATCTTTGTCTTCATTTCTGATTGTTTTCTTAAGAAGTGGATCATATGGTATGAACATTTCTTAGAATACAATTTAAAAAATATATACTTTTGAGGATTAGGGGCAGCTTTTTGTGTGTTAGTAGATGGGAAGTGGTGCTGCTCTAGCTAACACTTCCCTCTGAGTTGCTTTTACCTGCAGCAACTATGATACACAGTTTTTTGAGAAAGGGAAGAATGAAAACTTTAGGAATTCATTCTTTGAAGAAGATGCAAATAATAGAATTTACTAAATTATTAAGGGGCTCTGTTATTGAAACCCAGTCCAAACTTTATAACATAGATCCCACATAATAGGATCTCTCATGGGATACTTTTTCCATTTAAGTAAAAATTTTAATTTCTAACCTGTAGGGGAAAAAATCCTATTATACACAAAATCTTTCTATTACAGTTATTATAACATACAGGTGTGGAGACTATTTCTATGTTCAGATCACTATGTCCTCTACTTTCTTTGCTGTTAAATGAAGAGTGCTGTGTGATAAATGTGCATTTAGCAGTCAAATTTTCTCCCAAGGTTCTTGACTGATAAAATATTTGGTATTAGCTGTATTTGAGTGCTTGCACAATGTTAAGTATCTCTTAACACATTTGTTTGTGTTTTAAGGTTATCTTTGGAGGTTTTAGTCATTCGAATTTTTTCTTTACCTAGTTATGATAACATTATAAAATTATTGGGTGTCAGGTAGCTCCAAAAGTGGACATTCAAATCCTAGACGGTAGTACTTGCAAATAATTATTACTACTGCCACACATTAATAGAATGATTTAGTTGGGGTTTATTTGAGCAATGTTTCTCAGAATTTGTCCCAATTGTCACTTGAAAGTTTTGTCACTTGCTATGTTCAACAGCACAAACAAGTGTATGATTGAAATAAATAATTAAAAAAAAAGGATATGTAAGCCTTAAAATATCACTTTGACATTTTAAAAAATTTAAAATTATTTTATGTGGTGTCTTAGTAGAGCTATAACAAAGGAAAAGTAGCACTTAACCATAACATTGTTGTTTTGAAGTTGTCATAAAGATAGGTGATAGGTGATTACATTTGCTGTAGGTGATGTTTTTTTTCACTTGATTTTGTAAATGAAATAATTTAGAGTGCACTAGGTGAGCTTATTTAAATGAGATTTCAGGAAAGTATGTTTATTATAATAGTGTGCTCTGATAGAATAGCCAATTAAGAGTGAGTTTTATATGTAAGTGGGTTTTATATGTAAATGAGGGACTGGCTGTACTTTCACTTTTCACTTAAGTCATCAAGGTCTAGAAAAAGACATAGGAATGGAGATTAGCAGAATTTATCTTCCAGTTCTAGGTCTGCTGCTAAGTATGATCTTTATATCTTATTCTTCATGTCTCAGTTTCATTCTCAAATAGATAACAATACCTACCTACCATAAATTATTATTTTGAAATTTAGGTAATACTGCAGATGTAAAAGTATTTTGAAAAAAGTTTAAAGTCTTACAAATAAGTTTTAATTTTTATTTTCAGCAAACCCTTACCTTAATTCTGTGTTTATACAGCTGTATCAGCTGGGATATAGGAATATTATCTGAAATTCATCCTTGTTCATTTTCTGTCCAGTTTTGACCTTTTTAATTTACAACCAGTCAGTCTCCCTTTGTTACTGATTCCTTCTTCCTCCTAGAAGTATTAACAGTATTATCTCCTAGTATTTGACAGATTCAGGTAGAAAATAACATTTGTGTTGTATGGCTGCGTGTAACAATTTAGGGGTATATATTGTACTTAGAGTGATTTACAGTACAAAGCATTCTTCAAAAAACAATTGTAATTGTGGTATTTATACTTGATAATCCACTTAAACAATTTATAACTACTGAAAATACACTGTCCTGATTTCAGTTTACTTAATGACTATCATCACGTTGCTACAACACCTTTGGAAATTATACTGGATCCATTTGCCAGCACTGTGCTATTTAAATTATAGTGGAGGAAATGGGTAACCTACAGGATGAGCTCACCTAAAAGCTATGAATCTGGTTTAATTTTTTGAGGTTAAAAAACATGGAATAAGATAGTACTGTGGAATCTTATCATACAAATACAAAGCTTTCAGTCTTGATGTCACTAAGCTATGGCTTCATGGAATTGTGCTTAGAGATTTTAACATGCCTTTATTTTAATTAATTTCATATTTTGATGTTATTTTGTTTTAGGTCTACCTTTTAAGCATGCAGCTAGATTTGATTTATTCCATTTGTATCTTAACAGGTGAGTTAATCTATGTTATGATTGCTGACATATGTAGATTTATTTTACCATCTTATTTATTATTTGTATTTATAGAGCTTGCCCATTCCTTTTATGTCTTTTGTTGGATTGTTTTCTTAATGTTTTCCTCAGCAAGTTTGAAAGTGATATTTCTATTTTTTTGGTGTTCGTCTTCAGTTTTTTTATTGGAGGTATAATTTACATTCAGTAAAATTTATGTTCTTTTTTGATTTACAGTTCTGTGAGTTTTGACAGACATAGTCACATCACCATCACTTCCACCACCACCATGATATAGAACAGTTTCATCACACCTAAAATGCCCTTGTGCCCCATGTGGTTGACTACTCTTCACATCCCCAGCCTTTAGAATCACTGAACTGTTTTCTGTTCCTATATTGCCTTTTCCAGAATGTTACATAAATGGAATTTTACAGTCTTTGTCTGGCTTCTTTCACCTAGCATACCGCATTTGACATTTGTCTTAGTCTGTTTGAGCTACTATAACAAAATACCGTAAATTGGGTAGCTTATAAACAATATAAATTTATTTCTCTGGAGGCTGGGAAGTTGAAGATCAAGGCTTTGGCAGATTTGGTGGGTGTCTGATGAGCACATTTCCTGATTCGTGGATGACTGTCTTCACTGTAGCCTCCCATGGTAGAAGGAGCAAGATAGTTTTGTGTGTGGGGAGTTCTCTTTTATGAGTTCTAATTCCTTTAATGAGGGCTCCACCCTCATGACCTAAGCATGTCCCAAAGGCCCAACCTCCTAATAACCATTACATTGGACATTAGGATTTCAGCATACGATTTTTTTGTGTGTGTTGGGGGACACAGTCTGTAGTAACATTCATCCATGTTAATGTATCTTATTAGTAGTTCATTCCTTTTTATTACTGAATAGTATTCCATTGTAATGCTGTACCACAATTTGTTTCTCCATTCACCAGTTGAAAGAGATGTGGGTTTCCAGTTTTTGGTGATTATGAATAAAGCTGGCATAAATGTTCACATATAGGTTTTCAATGAGTATAAGTTTTCATTTCTCTTGAGTAAATACCTAGTAATATGATTGCTGGGTTATATGACATAAGCACATATTTAATTTTCTAAGAAAATGCTAATCTGTTTTTCTTTCTAAGCAACTGGTTAAACTGCTTTCTAAAGTGGCTGTGCCATTTTGCATTCCTACCAGTAATGTATGAGCATTCCAATACTTGGTATTGTTATTTTGTATTTTAGCTATGCTAATAGGTGTGTAGTTCACATTGTGATTTTAATTTTTCACTTCCCTAGTGTCTAATAATATTGAGCATCTTTTAATGTGTTTACTTGCTATCTGCATATCTTCTCTGGTGAGATGTCTATTCAGATCTTTTGCTCATTTAAAAAAATTTTTTTTAATTTTAGAATTCTTTATATACTCTGGATACAAGTCTTTGTCAATTATGTGTTTCTCCCCATCTGTGGCTTGTCTTTTGTGTGTATGTGTGGCTTGCCTTTATACTCTTAACAGCATATTTCACAGAGCAGAAGTTTTAAATTTTGATGAATCCCAATTTATTAATTTACTTCTTTTATGGAGTATGCTTTTGGTGTTGTATCTAAGAAAAGTTTTAAGAAACCAAGATCGAAGATTTTTCTCTTTTTTTAAATTGAGGTATAATTGACATACAACATTAGTTTCAGGTGTACGACATAATGATTTGCTATTTGTATACGTTGGGAAATGATCACCACAATAAGTCTAATTAAGATCTATCCCCACACATAGTTAGAAAAATTTCTTTTTCTTATGAGAACTTTGAAGATCTACTCTCTTAGCAACTTTCAAATATGCAATACAGAGTTATTAACTATAGTCACCATGCTGCACATTACAGGTATTGGTTGAGGTTTGTATTTTTGCACATGCGTGTCTAGTTGTTTCAGCACCGTTTCTACAAAAGACTCCCATTTTCATGGAATTGCCTTTGCAACTTTGTAGAAAATCAATTGACTATATGTATGGGGCTATTTCTAGACTTTCTTTTTCCATTGACCCATATATTGAATCAAATTGTAATTTTTTACAAAAAAAAATTGCTGGGATTCTGAATGGATTGCATCGAACCTGTAGACCAGTTCGAGGAGAACAGAAACCTTAATATAGAGTCTTCAACACAGCTTATCTCTTTATATGTTTGGGTTGTCTTTGATTTCTTTCATAAGTCGTTTGTAGTTTTCAGTATACATACCCTGCACATATTTTGTTAGTTATAATTTTTGGTTGCTATTGTAAATTGTACTGTCTTGTTTATTACTAGTACAATTGAGTCTTGTTATTTATGGTAATTATATTCTGTAAAGTCACTGTGAACAGTAAATTAGGGAATACTGAACCATTTCTCCTAGGGGAAATAATAGGGTTAGCTTCCTGTGAGTGTCTGATCATGACATTTTCATCAGTGGATTAGTACATAGCCTTTTTTGTGTGTGTTTCTTTTTAAAGACACTTTATTCAATACATGTTGATCATTAACATTGGATTTATAGCCAATGGCACTATAACTCATGCATGGATGAAGCTTGATCTAACACATTTTTTTTTTTGGCATATGACACAGCACAGCATTCTTGTACTTAGGAACACTAGACAGCACTTTAGCAGTATGCTAGGGGGCCATTTTAAACAGTGAAGTCATCAACAACAAGCAACAAATACAAAAAATGTGGCACTAAATAGAGCACGAAAAAGATGCTTTTACCTTGCTAACTCTTATCAGGTGATATAGCTTTTTGTAGATTCTTCGGCATTTTCATAAACATTCGTGTCATCTGCAATTGGGGTAGTCTTATTTTTTCATTCCCCCTTCTTCTTCCCTCTTGATTACCCCCTTTTTTATTGTAGTACAAAACATATAACATAAATTTTTACTCCCTTAGCAGTTTTTAAGTGTACATTATAGTGTTAACTATACATATGTTATACTGCATATTTCTGGAATTTATTTATCTTGCATTATTGAAATTCTGTATCCATTGAACAACTCCCCATTTCTCCCTCCCCTCAGTCTCTGGCAACCACATTTATACTTTATATTTCTAAGAGTCTGATTACTTTAGATACCTCATATAAGTGGAATCATGCAGTGTCTGTCTGTGATTAGCTTATTTCATTTAGCATAATGTCCTTTGGTTCATCCATGTTGTAATATACGACAGGTTTTCCTTTTTTTTTTTTGAAGGCTGAATAATATTCCTTCTTATGTATATACCACATTTTCTCTATCCATTCATCTGGTGATAGTCAATTAGGTTGCTTTCACATCTTGTCTATTGTGAATAATGCTGCAGTGAACATAGGTGTGCAAACATCTCTTCAAGATTCTGTTCTCAGTTCTACTGGATACATACCAGGAGTGGGATTGCTGGGTCGTATGGTAATTACATTTTTTATATTTTTAGCAACCTTCATACTGTTCCATAGCGGTTTCACCATTTTATAGTCCTGCTAGTAGTGCACAAGGGTTCCAATTTCTCCACACCCTCACTCTTTTTTTCCTGTTTTTAATTTTGATTTTTATTTATTTTTTGTCAGTGGCCATTTTAAGGTGTGTGAGATGATATTTCATTGTAGTTTTGGTTTTCATTTATGATTACTGATGGCAAGCGTCTTTTTATATACTTGTTGGCCATTTATATCTTCAATTAAGAAATGCCTATTCTAGTCCTTTGCCCATTTTTAAATTGGCTTATTTGTTTTTTGTTCTTGAGTTGAGTTCTTTATATGTTCTGGATATTTACCCCTTAGCAGATATATGAGTTGCAAATATTTCATCCCATTCTGTAGGTTACTTTTTCACTGTTATTTTTTTTTTGCTGCACAGACTTTTCAAGTTTGATACAGTCCTGTTTGTCTGTTTTTGCTTTTTTTTACCTGTGCTTTTGGTGTCAAAGCCAAGAAATCATTGCAATATCATGAAGCTTTTCTTCTATGATTTTTTTCTAGGAGTTTTATAGTTTCATGTCTTACATTTAGATTTCTAATCCATTTTGAGTGAAATTTTGAATATGATATAAGATGTATCTATTCTTGCATGTGGTTATCTAGTTTTCCCAGCACCGTTTGTGGAAGAGACTGTCCTTTCTCCATTATGTTATCTTGACACTTTTGTTCATCATTTGACCACAATGTGAAGGTTTATTTCTGGACTCTCTAGTCTGTTTTGTTGGTCTGTACATCTGTATTTATGCTATTTTTTTTTTCTGTTTTAATCTGTATACCTTTTATTTTTTTTTTCGTGTCTTATTGCACTGACATGAGCCTCCAGTACGATGTTAAAGTATTGAGAGTGAACATTTTTGCCTTATTCTGATCTTAAGGGGAAAGCATTTTGTCTTTTATACCTTTAATTTTGTTCATTGCTAGCAGCGGAAATAAAAAACTCAGTAAAACAAATGAAAGTTAAAGTTAAGAAAGTCTTCTCCCAAAATTAAACATCAGTACAAAGAAATCAGTGGAACATAGGAGATCAAAGAAGATAAAACTTTTATATGTATCATTTAAAATATAAATCTTTTAAGAATTATTTAGAAAAATAGCAATCTTCTGCCTTCTCTTTTGTTCGCTTACTCCAGAGGCAACCACTTGCAACTTTTCTAGCTGATTCTTTTTTATATTTACTTCTATAGCTCTGGAATCCATACATACAGATAATACTACTTCTTGATTTTTCAGTTTTTGGCATTATCTACTGACTTTAACTATAGAGATGAGGATTTAGCTCTTTTTCCACCTACTTTTCTTACCCTCTCCTTTCACTGTCACACATATTTGTCCATCTCTATTATCTCTGTATAGCCGTATTAAAATTTTGGTCAGATTAGTATTTAGAGTGTATATTATTATGACTACATACATGTCAATTACAACTAAGCCTATAATATACAAATACTACTTTTCTTCCTTGTACAACATTTTATTTTCTCTTGAGTTATCTTAGTTTTCTGTATATT